GATATAGGTTCCGGACACTCCCAGTGAGTTACAGTAGGGACCGATCGTCTTGTTAGGTCAGTTAGTGTGACCAACCCATTAAAGGGGAGTTTTGTCCACGGGAGCGTATTTTGTTTGGTTATTTTGCTTGACTCCTACCCGCTGTATCCCATCAACTAAGAGATTATCCCAGTGTCATCCAAGGACAGCGAGCGTTCTCCCATCCGCTCGGAGAGACGCGCCCGGTAGCAGTATCTCTTCTGCCCGACGTGTGTGTGTGTGTGTGTGTGTGTGTGTGTGTGTGTGTGTGTGTGTGTCTGTGTGTCTGTGTGTTTGTATGTAAACCTCTTATAACTTTTGAATGGCTCGGCCGATCGGATCGAAATAAGTGGCGATCCAAAGAGTATCATTGCCATTAAATTTCGTGGAAATTTGAATCGATTCGGTTCGCTAGATTTTGAGAAATCTCATAAATAAAATTTTAAAAAAATCGTTTTTTTGGAATAACTTCGTAACGGCTCAACCGATCAATTCCAAAAACTAATCAGCTCTTGAGCTTAAAAAAACCACATCGATTGCCACCAGTCCTATCAAAATCGGTTGATTCGTTCGAGAGTTATCGAAAACAAAAAATTTCGAAAAAAGTGTTTTTTTCACATAACTTCGAGATTTCTTTTTGGATCATTTTTGATGAAATCAAATAATTATTTGAGCCTAAAAAATCACGTTGATCGCCACCAAGAACGTAAAAATTGGTTGATTGGTTCGTGGGTTATCGTTGTCGAAAAAATTCGGAAAAAGTGATTTTTTCAAATTTCTCTAAGATTTTCGATTAGTTTGTGTTCAAAAGTATATCATAGATTTTGAAAAAGTGCGTGGAATACTGCCAACCACGTGAAAATCGATTTATTCATTTAAAAATTATTGCAGTTTGAAAATTTCAAAAATACCGTTGTATTAAACTGCTATCAGTCTTTTGAGCTCGATGAGCTCAAAAGCATACAAAAGCTATTTTTTGAGCTCGGAGAGCTCAAAATAACACACACATCGTATTTTTGAGCTCGAAGAGCTCAGAAATGTCATAAGTGCAATTTCGAGCGTTTAGGTATGGAATTGGCGGGAAGTTGCAGGGATGGCTTTTAGGGTCAACCGTTTTCCAGATTTTTTAACTTCCCGCTAAGAAAATTGAAAATTTTCAAAAATCGGGAAGTTATTGTTTTAACCCCGTTTTTCGAAAATCGAGTTTTCATCAGATCTCGACGTTTTAAGATCCTAGGAAGCTTCCCTGACTATTCCTGCGATGGTGTCTGTATGTCTGTATGTATGTATGGACGTGTGTGTGTATGTATATATGTAAACCTCTCATAACTTTTGAACGGCTTGACCGATTCGATCGCGGTTGGTGCCATTTGAAAGGGTTCGACTAAACTTATATTTTAAATACAAGTTGGACCGATTTGGACCGATAGATTTTGAGAAATCTAAAAAAAACTGCAAAAAAAAATTTTTTCCAAATGTGGTTTTTTTTTTAATAACTTTCAAACGGCTCGACCGATCAATTCCAAAAACTAATCAGCTCTTAACATCAAAAAACCACGTCGATCGCTACTAATCTGGTCAAAAACGGTTGATTCGTTCGTGAGTTATCGTTGACGAAATAAATCGAAAAAAGTGTTTTTTTCGAATTACACCGAAACTTTCGGTCTTATCAATTTGTGTTTAAAAATGTATCATAGAATTTAAAAAATTGCGTTGAATGCCGCCAACTACGGGGAAATCAGTTCATTCATTCAAAAGTTATTGTGGTTTATAAATTCAAAAAGTAGTGTTGCATTAAACTTCCATCAGACTTTTAAGCTCAGAGAGCTCAAAACTACACGAAAATTATATTTTTGAGCTCTTCGAGCTCAAAAACGTTATAGGTGCAAAGTTGAGCGCTTAATTGCGAAAGTAGCGGGAAGTTGCAAGAATGGCCTTCAGGGTCAACCGTTTTCCTAATTTTTTTTGTCAGTGTATTAAAAAATATGACCAGACCCGACTCTTCGAATGTATTTAATGCCTGCCCCCACGACCAGCAGCACTCGCTTCGCTCGTGCCGTAAATGTCGGGGCAGGCATCGAAAACATACTTATCAACATTTAAAGTTAAGAAAAGTAAAATTAATAACGTACTTTCGACCGGCTATAAAAAAAAATCCTATACACTACACGGCCCAAAAGTTGAAATTCCGGTCCTGCGCGTCGTTATGCTCGAGGCTTTGCCAAATTCAACTTTCAGCCCTTGTAATGTAATATACTATTCTCTCAGTGATTATCGACTGTAAATTTTATTTCTTATAACTATTACTGATCCTATTTTTATTACTATTTCTGTAACAATTTTACTTTTATTGTTATAATTGATGTAGGAAATGTTATAATCTATGAGCATTATTATTTTCTCCGTTTAGTTTTTAACACTATTACTGATTGCGTTATTAAGATAATTTTTTCTTTTATTAATATTAGTATTTCAATTACTATTACTATTGATATTACTTTCATATTATTCAATCATTATAATTTTTATTATTTTCATTATTATTATTTTCAGGTGATTCAAGCAGTTTTGTCCTTAATTCTAATCGATGCGAAGAAAAAAGAAGATGAAGCGGTTATATTCAAACGCTAGATAAAAAAAATCATCGTCATTAATAATAACATTTTTTTTATTATAAATATCAAGTACATAAAAATAGTTTTTAAACATTGATTTTCTAATATCTAATATATGTTTAATATGTATCATTTTTTATTAATAATTTATTTACAAAAAAAGTTTATTGTTATTTTTTTTTTTAAATTAAAGTATATGATTAATAAAAATAATTTATTTACACACAAAATATTAAGTAGTAACTATAACAAATATAAGTCTAACATATTTTCTAATTAACTGGCATAAAATTCAATATATATATTTTCTTGAAGTTATAAATGCACGTATTTAAGAAATCATCATCGTCGGGTCTTGAACCCGGCTTATTTTTTTGTGAGCAGTAAAATTAATATAGTTTCGCGAAGAATAGACTTCTAAACTGAATTTCAAGTATTTTGGTCTAAAAATAATTTTTTTTACGCCATTACACGTACAATACTTTTATGATATTTTTCAAATCTTACTATTTTTTATATAAATCAAATATGTAATTTAAGCCAGATAGCCACAGTTTCTGAGCAACTTATTTGTGTATTTAAATGTAATACAGTACAATCCGGTCAAAGTAAATTACCATGCTATCTTCTAGTAACTTCAGAAAAATCGAAAATTGAATGTAACAATTGTAACTAAATAAAACGATATTGAGCTAAAATTTTAAAAATTGTTTTTCGCATCAATCATACATGAGAGTAGAGAAAATTAAGTTAAAGTATCGGACTTTCAAGAAGTTATAGCGTTTGATCCCATAAACTCATGAGAAAAAAATGGAAAAATGTAGCCTAGCACCAGATTGTACATAATTTATGTAAAAAATGAATGACTTAACCTACAAACGGATATCCTGGGTATCCAACCGGAGATCCAAAGAACCCGGGGAAAGAAGGTACCGTAGGTTGGACAGGAACAGTCGAGGTGACGTAGGTGGTAATTTCAGTGGGCACCACTTTCGTCGAGAAGAGGGTGGTGTAGGCGGTCTTCGCGCCGAAGGTGAGTTTCAGGACTCGTGAGTCAGAAATTGTGGCGAGAGTCTGAGTGACGATCGGGGCTGTGGTGACAGTGAACTGGGGCTGGGGAGGGTACAGTGGCACCTGAGGAACTTGAGGAATCTGAGGAAGCTGTGGAATCTGGGGCATCTGTTGGATCGGCTGAGCTATAGGTGCAATAGTTGACGTTCCTAATTCGTAGGAAGTTCTTGGAACAGTTCCCACTGGTCTAGAGAGGGTAGAGAACACGGTATTGCCGTTGCTTACCAGCGGGATCACGTGAGACTCATAGACGGTTTCGAGGACAACGATGGGCCTGGAGGTGGTAATCACTTGTGCAGCCTGGTTGAAGTAGTTGAGTAATGCAAGATGTTGCGCAGACTCGGGAAGTAGTTGTGGGTCTGAAGAGGGAGATGGTACTTCTAGACGATTCTGCTTGGTTCCTTTGTTCGTTCCTTTGAAACCATCAAGCTCTGGCTCATGGGCGTTTGGAACCACAACGCGCTTAGGAATGTCCTCGTCATCGTTTTCGTCGTCTCCAAAGTCGAGCTCGAGGTGAAGTTCGCTACCAGCTTCGTCGAGCTTAGAGTTGAACTCATTGAGTGTCTTCGAGGGGATGAACTGATATATTTCTGATGGCGGGAGTGTTTTAATCGCGGTTACCATGCGAGCAATGTTGTAGGTCTGTACTAAGGTGTGATGGGTCGTGTTACCGTTGGCTACTACGGGGAGTAAGTAGGTTTTAAGCAGGGTCTGGGTGGTAGTGAAGGTCTCTGTTAAGGTTTCTAGTGGAGGAGTCATCTGTCCGGACTCCAAGGTGATTGCAGGGAGTGTGGCGATCGAAGAATCCAAAGGCAGAGAGGACTCGTAAGCAGCTGCAGTGTTAGCTAAGATGTTTTCAGTTAATGGTTCAGTGTGGGTTGGGGTGGTTGAAGGATCTGCTGTGGCGAACGATTTTTTCTGAGTTGATGTCACGGTGATAAACCGCGTGTTCTTCATTGTTCCAACCTGGAGGCAAAGAGTTAATTGGTTCTTTAAAAATTTTGCTAAAAACAATAGTTTGTTATCTACAGAGTAAAAAATATTGTGTATTTGCGTGAATACGGTCTGTGTTCAAAATTTTTTCTGTTATTTTCTCTAGAATTGTGCTTTACGTCAATTAAGCAAAAATTTTTTCAGTGGTTGATTAAACTAATAACGATTGTCAGATAAGCTACTAAAGAGAATTAAAAAAATGATTTCTAACTTTCCGATAAGAAAATCAAAGATTTTCAAAAATCGGGAAATTATTGGTTTTACCCCATTTTGCAAAAATCGAGGTTTCATCAGATATCGACGTTTGAAGCTTACAGGAAGCTTCCTTGACTACTCCCGCGAGGTTGTCAGTATGTATGTATGTATATATGTATGTATGTATGTATGTATGTATGTATGTATGTATGTATGTATGTATGTATGTATGTATGTATGTATGTATGTATGTATGTATGTATGTATGTATGTATGTATGTATGTATGTATGTATGTGAACCGCTTATAACTTTCGAACGGCTCATCCGATTTTATTGCGGTTGGTACCATTTGAAAGGGCTTAGCCAATCTTTGATTTTGAGTATAATTTGGACCGACTCGGATCAGTAGATTCTGAAAAATCTTAAAAAAACTAAGAAAAAAAATTTTTTCAAATGTGGTTTTTTCGGATAACTTTTAAACGGCTCCACTGATCGATTCCAAGTACTAATCAGCTCTAGACAATGAAAAACCACGTCGATCTTCACCATGCTGGTCGAAATCGGTTGATTCGTTCGAGAGATATCGTGAACGAAAGAAAACCGAAAAAAATGTTCTTTCGAAATTACTTCGAAATTTTTGGTTCGATCAATTTAAATTTAAAGATTTTAAATGAGGCCTAATAAACTCCGTCGAATGTAATCAACTGCGTGAAAATCGGTTCATTCATTTGAAAGTTATTGCGGTTTGAAAATTTAAAAAATAGTGTTATGCTAAACTTCTATCAAACTTTTGAGCTCGAAAAGCTTAGAGAGCTCAAAATGACATGAAATTAATATTTTTGAGCTCTTCGAGTTCAAAAACGTAATGAGTGCAATTTTGAACGCTCAAGTATGGAATTAGCGGGAAGTTGCAGGGATGACCTTTAGGGTCATCCGTTTTCCTAATTTTTTTTTCTATAAATTAATATCTCAAACTTAACCCTTTTGTTAGAAGAAAGCGTTTGTTTTTCTTCTTTTATCAAAATTTCACGAGGATTTCGCGTGATGATATCAGAAAATTTTTTTCAAAATTTAATGATAATTGGAGTTTTGTCTTACCTGGAACGTGTACGGAGATTTAATCGTAGCGATGAGATAGTACATGTCAGTCATATCAGCGGGCGTGGAAATCTCGACGTTAATAGTCTCAGCGGGTATGATCGCGTCATTCTCATTCTGATCTGTGAGCACGGTTCCTATGGAAGGATTTCCTGCAGATCCGGAAGATCCCGAGTCAGATGACGATGGCACCTGTTCCGATTCGCTGGAATCCAGTTCCGCGTCTGAAACGTTCTCATCGCTTTTCTTGGAAGCGACTGTTGGTTTCTCATCCGTTGATGCTATCGTCGCCGGCTCATTAGTCGCCACATCGGGGCCCCTTTCCTCATCATCTACCTGTTTGCGAATCGCAACTCGCGCTTTCGGAGCTGGCTTGTAGGCCCAGCGACCCTGAGTCCTTGGGAGCTTCGATTTCGACAGGCTCACCGGCGATTGCTCGGATTTGGGTCGCTGAGCTTTTGATGGCGTCTGGGATCCTACTGGCCGAAAATTGGTACGACGACGGGCTGGAGCTTCTGTTGTTGTTGTCGTTTGGGCGCGGTTTCTGGAGAAGAAAGAAAGGTCGTTAGTTAAAATGTTATGAGTTATGACAATAGCCAAGAATAGTCATTATCAATAATAACAATAATAATAATAATTACTTGTAACTAGGGCGCGCAGTAGTTAGACGGTTCTTTTCATAACTTCGTCCGTGTGGAGTTACATCATGATTATCTTGCTCCTCGATTATCTTGTTACGGTATTTCGGGCGTGGTGAACTAGAAGGTCTGCGTGTCACCTTTACGCTTGCTCCTAAGAAAAAATTGATGGCAAAAATATATATTGTTGATAAAATTAATTATTTTTTGTAGGACTAAAAACAAAATATTCGAAACTTTTGAGATTTATACATAGGAGAGATAAAATTTTGTATGCAACCTGTCGCCTCCACGGAAAAATAATATATCCTAAGATATATACTGGGAATATAGTCTAGGATGTATTCAGATTTGCCCACAAATATATATACTTGGATAAATACGCATAGTATCCGTGAAAAAATATTCATAGTTGATAAAAAAATGATATAAAAATTGGCCATATCAGGCCATAGCAAGCCTTATCAATTTGATATGTCTATATCAGACTTGATATAGCTTGATAAGCTCATATATAATTTTATATTATTTCTTAATAGGTCCTGATATGGCCTGATATAACCTTACAAAGTTTTATATACTTTGATAAACTTGAAAAAAAAATCCCTGGTCAGAGTTGATATGACTTGATAAGGCTTCATATAGTCGGATATACCCTTATCAGTACATAAGTAGTCTTATCTAGTTATATCTTAGTTACATACTCATATAAAAGCTTACAAGAGTAAAAAAACTATATAATTCATATATATTATATAATATATATAATATATAATATATAATATATAATATATAATATATAATATATAATATATAATATATAATATATAATATATAATATATAATATATAATATATAATATATAATATATAATATATAATATATAATATATAATATATAATATATAATATATAATATATAATATATAATATATAATATATAATATATAATATATAATATATAATATATAATATATAATATATAATATATAATATATAATATATAATATATAATATATAATATATAATATATAATATATAATATATAATATATAATATATAATATATAATATATAATATATAATATATAATATATAATATATAATATATAATATATAATATATAATATATAATATATAATATATAATATATAATATATAATATATAATATATAATATATAATATATAATATATAATATATAATATATAATATATAATATATAATATATAATATATAATATATAATATATAATATATAATATATAATATATAATATATAATATATAATATATAATATATAATATATACGATATATAATATATAACATTCATATACATATATCCGAAGAAAAATAGTTTCACTGTAAAAAAATCGCAAGTCCACGTTCATAAGACTATTAAGAAAAAAAAATTAGTTTTTTCTTTACAAAAAGATATAAAATAAAAAAATT